GTATAATTTTAAACACTCTTCCGTCTTGCGTTTTTGCGGGCGGGACCACTGCCATTCCTCGGGGTCAAAGGGGAGTTCGACTATAGGAGTGTCTGGCTGATATGCAATCCATGCATATTTGTCCCGCAGCACACGGATTCTTTGCAGTTCTAAATTCCTGTGCCATCTCACCACGTCTGGATCAAATCGGGTCAGCACATTGTTTTTGCCCATATGGAAGAGGTTGGTCAGGGTTTCGTCCGCCTGCACCTCTATCACATTGCCTACACTCTCCGGACCCCCCGAGACTGTTCCCCAGTCCCCTTCTGTCAGCCTTGGCCCTTTGCGCAGGATACGGACCCAATCTAGGGGAATAGCAAAGATCAAGGTTTCAATGTGCTCTTCGACGTTGTGGCAGTACCTTAGTGTGGTCCTTGGTTGCTGTGCAGATTACCAGTCTGCCACTCGCGGGTCCCATATATCCTTTATTATGGTTATGCCTCTTTTGACCCAACTGCTCCACGGGGTACTTGAGTTGCAATACACTCTGTTGTTCCGGTCTGTTATTCTTCTGTTGTTGAAATGGGGTTGGCACGCCACCTCTTCCCACCTGGTTGGTGGGAACTTGTCGGGTAGCGGCAGTTGGTGCCAGGTTTTCGCAACCCGGGCCCAGAAGTCGTCCCTGGCCAAATCCGAACGGGTTGTGTCCCGTCCCGGAGCTTGCCCGTTTCGGCGAGACTAAGGCACTGTCCAACAAAGGTCTTCCAACCAGATTAGTGGGTTAATTCCTTGCGGTGTCTGGGGAGCAAGTCTAGCTATTTGTTCTAGAGCAAGGGCCCGCCATGGGAGATGTTGAGCAAAGAGTGATCTCTTGATTCATTGAATTGCCAAGGCTTTAATCTGAGTTTCTGGGTCTAGGATCCCCAGGCCCCCTTTTTCTTTGGGTTGGATCACTGATTGCCAGGCTGCCCTATTCATGACATTTTGCAGTTCTTCATTGCCTCTCCATAGTAGGGTTGTCACCTGCCGTTTTAGTGACCTGACGGCGTCCTTACTGAGGGTCCAAATTGCGGATTTGTACCAGAGAGCCGCTAGTATTACACTGTTGATCGCTAATGCCCTTCCAACAAGGGAGGTGTGTCGGTCTTTCCAGTGGGACAATTTCTCTAGCGCGGGTTTCAGGATCCATTCATCGTTTGATGCAGGCTTACCAAGTGTCGTGAGCATGATTCCCAGCACTCTGACCGGTGTCGTTTCCGGGAGCCATTTGACCTGTGGAAGCTCCGGGGGGCGCATCCCTTGGTGGTGGATCCACCATCCCAGGGTTTTGTTTCCCCAATTGACAGTCATGTCTGAGACTGCTGTGAACCGGTTAAATAAAAGCATGATCTCTTCCATGTCTGTTGCTGTGGCATCGACCATGAGTGTCAGGTCATCTGCGAACATCGAATAGATCGGGATTGCTTCTTTTGGTACGGGCGAGATCTGCAGTTTCCTGAGGTCTTTGTTGGCCCGAAGGTTTGCTGCCAATGCCTCCATTACTGTAATGAACAGAAAGGGTGCCTTGGCGAACCGACCGTTGCAGCGAAAAGGTCGGTGCTATTCTTTCATTTACCTGGACACAAGTGGTTGCGTTGTAATTTAGTATTTCAGTCCACCGCCGGAAGACTGGCCCTATATTCATTTTTTCCATACATTTGCCAAAAAAGAGCCAGTCCACATGGTCATAGGCTTTTTCAAAGTCTATAAAGACTATTGCCGCATTTTGTTTGTCTTGTCTTGTTAGTTTAAGTAGTTCATTTACTAATAGTATGTTATCCTGTATCCTGTGCCCTTTAATGAACCCGGTTTGCGTCGGGTGGATAATATCTTCGTAGACTGGGAGCAATCGATTTGCCAGGGCCTTCGCGAGCATTTTGTAGATCAGGGTCCTTCAATTTTCAATCGCCAACTTTGGCGATTTTTCACGCTCGAAAGAATTAATGAAAAGATCTAAAATTTTGAGATCCTGGGGCCTGGACCCATTAGCGAAGTATTCTACCACTCCATTCAGGATTTCAATCACGTGCGGCCACGAGTGACGCAATACGGCCGTCGAATGCATTGGATCTCGACAGCCTCGTAGTTTCCAAGCAGGGACTGTAAACATGCCCACCTCCGTCCAATGAGATGCATAAAAAAAAACAAAAAAACAAACTTGGACATGATAGCTCGTGGCTTTGCGTGGGCAGGAAGTCTGGATTTTATGGACCTGAAAGGGGGGGGTTGATTTCCAAACTTCGTGTTTTTTTTTTTTGGCTCTGACAAATCGAACTTGAAATATGAAATTCAAATATCGTGGTGGATCTGACAGGAACGCCTCCACATCTGTCGGATGGCCTGTTAGAGGCCTCATGAGATACATGGTGATGAATGTATCCCCATACCCGTTACTTGTTCATTCTCGTGGCTGTGTTCGTGGACACATTTTATTGCCACCCTACATCACTATGAAGACTTACGTGAAGGAGATCGTACCAACCCATGAATTCGAGTGCACAGTTGTTCTTCTTTGTTTTATGTGCCATTTCAATTCATTTTCAATCAGAAAACTTCGTTCAAAACGATCCATTCATGAAAATAAAAAAAACACTTCGTCTTTTCCAAAAAGCCCTAAAATTGCGTCACACATCGTAGAATACTTCGCTAGTGGGTCCAGGCCCCTGTGGATTAGGTTGTGCTCTTTCCAGGAAAAATACCAAGAAAAAAAAAAATGATCGTGAAACAAATGCCGCCCTTATTCCTCACATTTTCCATTTTACCACTCTACAAAGTGAGGGCCAACGGAAAGAGTACCCCAACGTCCACGATTTTTTGTGCTCAGAAAAATTACTCAAAATCTCTAAAAATCATAGGGTCTCGGGATTTCGTCATGGTCTTGATAGGAAATATATTTTTTCAAAATAAAAAAATATATTCTAGACCATGCAATAAATGCCGCGCCAATTCATCTCATTTTCCATTTTTACCGCTCTACCACATGTGGGCCAACGGGAAACGTACCTCAACTTCAGCGACTTTTCACGATCAAACGAATGTGTCAAGAAATCTGAAAATTGGAGGGTCCGTAGATTTGGTCGTGATCTTTCCAGGAAAAATATTAAAAAAAAAAAAGATCATATAAACCACGAAATAAATCACATTGGCAATTCTATGCATTTTCTGCCACTCCCCTGGTTCTCCCCACAATGTTACCGGTAGCCCTCTTCAACCTGTGCTACCGATCCCCCTGACTTTAGGACAGTGGGGATAGTGGTGGTTTAATTGGGAGAAAAGTCGTCGTCTACCGAAAAGCTGTTTTTTTTTTCAGTGTCTTTCGTTTCCCCCCAAAGGCCTGCAGAATGGGGGGTGATTACTTTGGGGGGGGGGAAGGTGGTCTCATACGCCAAGTATTTGGTACAGGAGGCCATGGGAAGACTCAGCTGTTGGGAAGACTCAGCTGTTGGGCCTGGCTTGTCTACTCGACAAATGTGCAAAATGAGAATGAATCTTCAGTAAGAACATGGAAAGATACATCATCATCTTCTGTGCATGTGGTGAGTAGTGTCTTTGGAGGCAGCCTGCCTTCAGGGGAGGTAGGCGTTGAAGGGGCTCTAGCTCTTGTTTCCTAATTCCTACCTAAACTATCCATAGGTGGAGCCCCATGTTTCTTCACCGGGCGGGGATCTGCCAAACTTAAAGCACCAGTACCAGTACACCACACATAGGCCCGCAGGTGTCAGCATGAAACCCGCACCACTTCAGAGGCCCCTGATTTTTATTTTCAACGGCGCCCCTGGCCGTGCCACACCTCCGAGTTTTGCTTGTGGCGAAAAGAACTTTCTGCAAGGCTGGGGCAAGGTACTAGCGGTTTAAACCACCAGTATCTTTCCCCGCTTGAAAAAAAAATGCTCGGCGTATACGGGCACAACTTTCAAGGGTTGGTTACCAGACCAAAATGGCTGGCGGCACCAGCGAAAATCAGGGCTGCACTGGTTTGTTTTTTTATGACACGTGCAGAGCATTGTCACGCTGGGGTTCAATAGTTGGGCGAAGTACTGGTGGTTTAAACTAAGGGCTACACCCCGCCGAGTAGCGCCACTTTGTGGCAATGTGCAAACACTGCCACTTCTCATGTCGAAAACGTTGGCGGTCGCCGTGCGATCCCATGAGCTCTTCTGGCAGAAAGGGAACTGTCAGGCACTGGATCCAGCTCTCAGTACTGAAATCGCTAGAATTCACTTCAGTGCTGTTAGGGGGAGCCACACCAGGCGGCTTTCACACACCAGCCAAAACACAGTAGTCAGCAAGTGTCGGGCACGAGCAACACAGAAGAGAGACAGCTTGGAGAGGCCCTAAAGATGGGAAACAAGCCAGGTACACAAACAATGCCATATTGGACTACCTTAACTGGCCGCGATCCAGCGACCCAGTCCGTTAGAAGGACCACATTCACACGTCAGATACTACGGGTCCGGAATAATCCAAAAACACGAGGACGTGATTCCTAGGAGAGAGGCTCGTGAATGGAAGGCCGTCCAACGAAGGATCGTCCAAAGTGAGAGGGTCTCATCACCAGAACACTCGGTCAGGACAGTGAGGGGCTCAGTCGCCAGAGCGCCGAGTGGGAAGGCAGACATAAAATTCAGAAACATGTTTTCTTCTCGTCCCCATTGAGACCGGAATTCCCTTACACACCAGTGGGCCTTGCTCAGTTGGTACACCACTGTTGAAATAAAAACACCACATTCGAATCAAAACGAGCTAGATGAATGAAATCAAGCGTTTCTATTACTTGGGGCCGGTCCGTTTAATGATAATATCTCAAGGCAGATATGGTTTCGAACGCAACAAACCACATAGTTTACTAAAATAAATCGGAATGTCCCTCGGGATGATCAGTTGGAAGATAAGAAAACAGAAATCCCCTTACGAGCAGAACAAGCTCAAATTTGAGACATCTAGTATGATTGTCAACCGTGCAGATCCCTCATCTTGACGGCTCATATCCAAGCTTTTTATCCTGCTGTTCAGTTCCGGGGCTAAGTCCAGCTAACGAGCGTTTAGACCAGGTTTCGACTACGCACCGGCTCCTTCCATCCGATTTGAACATTGTACGGCTGCACTGCGGCCACGTTGAAAGATGCTCGAATAGAACACTAAACCCTGTCGAGAAATGGCCCCCAAAAAGACGAAACAAAAACCATCCTATGCCTAAATCTGTACGTTTTCAAGGAGAGGTGGGGAAAATCGAGATAGAACCGCATTTGCAAGGAAGATGAGCAATAGCGAACGTCAACAATCAAACAACATTATACACATAAGACCAGATAGTCGTGACCTCGAACCAATAGCAGAATTGCATCACGAGTTTCACCAAATAAGAGCACACCAAAAGCTCATAATTGACAATGCTGGAATAGTCTCATAATCATCATCAATGAAGAACCAATGTTGATATCATATCTGGCGCTCGGCGCCCAGACTACAGATGGCAGATCCTATCTAGCCTAAGACTACAATGCCAAAGATGACGATAACAGCTCTCCCGAAGTACGAGCAGATAGCGGCCAATGCCGCACGCTTCCAGCACCAGGTATGTCTCTCGCTTCACTCACAACCTTGTTCCCCAACACACAGATGCCACATGCACCCAAGGACCACCCTGCGCCACACCCAGCTCACAGCAGCGCAGCTCGGCTATGGCTGCCTGCTCCTTCNACACACAGATGCCACATGCACCCAAGGACCACCCTGCGCCACACCCAGCTCACAGCAGCGCAGCTCGGCTATGGCTGCCTGCTCCTTCCAGCTCGACCGTGAGCGCGTGAGCGCTGGTCAGCTTCAGCGCAGCAGCGCTTGGGCAGCTTGCAGCCAGCACCCGAATGTCGAATGCGGAGGCAGGCCCTTTGCTATATGGAAGTGGCCTGCCTGCGTTCTGTCCCAAGCTGCGCTGGGCCTTTCCCAAGAAGCTTCCAGTAGGCCCGGTAGGTTGAGGCCCAGTCCAAACAACTCAGGCCCTGGGCCTGTGGTGGTTGCTTGCGCCCAACTGTCATCGGCCTGCGTCTGGCCCACATCTCGTATCCAGCCCAGGGCCTGCCTTTGATTCATGCAAACAGGCAACCCAGGGCCTAGGTTCTCTCAACCAACTGGCGCTGCGCAACTGCCTGAATTTCCTTAGTTGCGTGGTGGCCAAAATTCAGGGCCCTCAGACCCTCGTCGAGCCTGCCTTCACTTAGGTGTGAAAGGGGCACATTGGGGCTTTAGCCTCGCATTCCCTCCTCCATAACTTCGGTAGTCCTCTGAGAAGTTTAATCTTCAATGATCTCACGCTTTCCCTTCTGCAAAGCTTTTCCGTATTGAGCTACGACTTGAGGAGCGGTCTGCATGAGTTCCTCCTTGGTGAACCAGCGGTCCTCCTTTGGATCAATATGTTGCCGGAACCGAACGCGGTACTGCAGCTTCGGTTTCGGAGGACGTCCCCTGCCCGTTGGTCTTGGAATTGGCAGCTCCCTGTGGTCCACGATATCATCGATATCCACTTCTCCTTCGATGGTTGGGGGCAGCATTGAGCGACGAGAAGGAAACTGGTCTGTTTCCTTGAAAGGTGCAAGTTTGGAGGTGTGAAAGACAAGATAAGTGCGGAGATGACCAGGCATCCGGATTACATAAGATGGCCCATCTGGATCAGTCCCGACAATGTCTAAGACCTCCCCTGGCCCAAAGTACTGAGGCATGAGCTTACGGGAAATCCCGTGCTCCTATCCCAGTTCTGAGGACTTAACCCAGACTCTGTCCCCAACCTGAAATGTAAACGGGCGGCGATGTTTGTTCTCAGAGTCTATCATTGCCGCCTGAGCCTTCTGCATTTGTTCCATACCTGCTGCATCTTCTGATCATATCGGTATGCAAATTCTAAAGTATCGGGTGCTACAGTTGATTGATTTTCAGGTAGTAAGAAGTCTAAAGGCAGTCTAGGTTTGAAGGTCAGTAGCAGACTGTTAGGGCTCACTCCGGTGGCGCTCTGCACAACATTGTTATACAGACTCGCGATTAGAGCAAGCTTCTCGTCCCAGTCGACCTGATTGGGCTTGATGTAATGCCACAACAGGTGTTGGACAGCACGATTCAATTGGCCTCGGGGTGATTACCCGAAGTCATCTGCAGCTGCGTTCCTTCCCTGTTCGGTAGCAGTAGCCTTCCACAACTCACTTGTAAATCTGACATCCCTGTCACTCACGATTGACTTGGGCAGACCAAAATCTCTTACCCAGTTCTCTTTGAACAGTTTGATAACGTACTCGGTTTTTCCTGTCTCCGACATGGCTATCAGCCTAGCATACTTACTAAATATGTCCACGATGATTTGCAATATGCAAAAAATAGTACAYTCTATTCTTTTTCTTATGGATTGAAATTAATATAGAGAATCTATTAGAATATTGAAAATGTATATAATAAATATAACAAAGTAAATAATTAAGTAGCTATTTATTATTATTTGCTATTATAATTCTGATCAATAATCATAAATATCATATATTGATTCTATAAAATATCTATTCATTGTAAGTCAATATACAAATATGAAAAATTGACATTAGATATGTGTCATCACGCTCTTGCTGGTGACCAGCATATCCATGAAGTCCATGGGCAAACTCTCACCAGGTCTTTCCAAAATCGAAAGGGGCTTCAGGAGCCCAAGAGGAGCCTGAGTACGTGGCTTGTCTCTCTGACAGACCTGACAGGTCTCCACGTACAGGTGGGCATCTCGCATCATCGTGGGCCACCAAAACCGCTGCAGCAGATTGGTTGCTGTCTTTTTATAGCCAAAATGGCCGATGGCATCATGACACTCACCTAAAAATAAACTACACAAAGACTCTCTATTTGGGACACACAATCGATTATTCCCTGCCTTCTCAAGGAACAACACGCCGTTGACCAACTCAAACTCGGCAGAAGTCTTCTCATCCTTCACCTCAAGTTTGCGTATGATCGCAGACATGAACTGCTCCTCGCGATAGGCTTCCACCAAAGAGTGAGTAACATCGTCCGTAAGATCGAACTCTGTAATCAGCGCACCTGAGAAATCAGGTCTACGCGACAGCGCATCAGCAACGTTGTTGTACTCGCCCTTGATGTACCGGGGCTCGAAGTCATACTGCTCTATGACTTCAAACCAACACTTCAGAGCGTCGGAGAGCACAGGTTGGGTTCTCATCCACTTCAGAGTCTGATGATCAGTCCTGACGTAGAAGAACCTCCCAATCAGTCCTGACGTAGAAGAACCTCCCAAGGAGATAGTGCCTCCAATGGGTGAGCGCCTTGTAGATCTCATAGAGCTCCTTCTCATAGGTGGACTTAGCCAACTTCTGAAAGGGCATCTTTTTGGACATGTACTCCACGCCTCAACTTTTTCCCCTCCTGCAAGTACGGCGCCTATGCCATATTGGCTAGCATCCGTAATTACTATAAATGGCTTGTTAGGATTAGGAACTTTCAAGACCTCATGATGAGTCAACGCATGCTTCAGATGTCTGAAAGCAGCCTCGCATTTGTCTGTCCACTCCCACGGGGTGTCAAGGCGAGTGAGGTCAGTCAAAGGGGCGGCAACTATGCTATAGTTCTTCACGAAGTTGCGATACTAGTCGGTCATCCCTAAGAAAGACCTCATCTCCGACACCCTTGCACTCTTCTTGGGTACAAATAGGACTGGAGACCCATAAGGAGAAACACTTGGCCGGATCCAACCCTTTTCTACGAGTTCCTTGAGTTGCCCACGAAGCTCATCAAGCTCGCCTGGAGACATCCAATAGATCCTTCCCTTTGGAATGCTAAACCCTAGGATAATCTCTATCACGTGGACGACCTCCCTCTCAACAACCCCTGTCGACTTTTCAAATAGATCAGGGTATTTAGCAACTACTCCCTCTATCTCCGACGACATTTTCACTGACTCGCTTGCAGCAGAGACATAAACTAGATACATACCCTCCTGACTTTGCTTATAATAATTATAGAACGTGGCCGTAATATGGCGGTCCCTCCACCTGGCAAAGTGTGTTTGACCACTTTTCGGTCCCAATCAAACTGTCGCTGTGCCACAGAGAGGTAGTACATACCTAACAAGATATCCATGGGGAGTTCATCGCTCACTAGGAACGAGACACGATGTCTCAGTTCCCCTCCCGCGTACGATAAACAACACTCCACATCCTGGAGGTAGTCGTTGACTACCATGCGCTGTTTGTTGGCACAACTCGACTCCACAGGTCCACTCAGGCGCTGCACTTGCCCCTGTAAGCGCAGCCTCTCAACGCACGCGCGACTAATGACTTTCGTGTCGAGCAGTGTCTTAATAGGCCTCGGCCTTGCGGCCGCCAATGACCACCTTGCTGACGAACATCTCACCCTTAGGGGCTTTTACCAATCCCGTCCAAAAAGATAGCGGGTCTGATTTAGACCACTCTTCCTCTAGCTCCTCTAAGGACTCGAACACATTCCTCGAACAGAGGGTCGATAGGTCTGAACGGGTTTGCGGGACGACGATAAAGTCAATAGCTTGGGCCATCTCTCGAGATGGTGAGAGTGTGTCCAGCACCCCAACCCTAGCAGGAGCAACTACTATTCCTACTGGCCCGACGTGTTTCCCCGAGCAGTGCCAGAAGTGCTGGCCATATTGCTACCAACGGGATAGGAGGATCCCAAGGCCTGCCCCATCGTAGGCGATATCTTCTCGGTCACCTTCTTGTTGCGACACTTGAATTGGTTATGGCCATATTGACCACAACGAATACAAGCCTGCCTGGTGTACCTGTCTCTCCACATGTCCTCACTGAGACCCGCTTTCTCCCATGGAGGAGCATTGGAGTCAACTTCACTCCTTGACCGGGAACCTCCACGGCGTCTACCAGCCGCCTTACCTTTTTGTGCTACGGCAACGACTACTCCACCCCCTGAAGTCTCTACGCTGCCAGCCTCTTAACCTACTCCCGCCTAGAACTCGTCGTCCAACTCGATGGTAAAACCATCGTTGTCGACGAACATAATGCGGCTCTTCGCCTTCCCGTTGGGAGGCAGCGACTTCTTCCTACCATCCGTCCTGGGATTATGTCCATGACCTACCTTTGCCTCAAGGTCTAGGGCCTACTTGCTGAACGAGGGAAAGTTATGCATATTGATGTTGGCCTCACCTACCAACTGATTCATGAGAGGCATGGGAAAGCATCTCAGGTAGGAGGTGAGTAAGACCTAGGGGTCATAGCACACCCTAGGGACACAGATCAGGCGCTCTACAACGTCAGTGGCCTCTCTTACTGATTTAAACTGCCTCGTGTGCAGTGTCAAGATCGCGCCAGTGGCCCTTTGGGCCCCCTGAGGATCGTGCCACCTATCTTCCACCATCTTGAGAAAGTCCTCAAGTTTCTGGCGGGCTGCCCAAGCGCCAAATTCATTACCGTATCCCTGCAACTGCGCTAAACCAGTCAACCATCTTGCTGCACTACCTCTAGGTAGGATGCAGCCACAAGCACTTCCTCGTGCGGCAAGGTAAGTTTGCACTTGACATAGACCGGCACTGCCCTCAACCAAGTGTCGAGGTCTTCGCCCCTCTTATCCCCTGTAAAGGGTTTCGGAGCGGTGATGGCCGTCTTCGGTACCCACTGACTTTGTCCCGGTCCCTGCATCACTCCGAGTTGTGGACCCTGTGACACAGGCTGCTGCACTGACTGCAAGGGTTGTGTACCCTGCGACTGTACAAGCTGCGAGACAGCAGGTTGCACACTTATGACAACCTGCGACAGAGGTTGCGTAAATATTGTCAATACATAAACCTGTAAACTCCCTCTTGTTAACGGCATACCCAGGGACACAGTCTGGACCGATGTTGGAGCTACATATAGGGATACCCCAATCACCTGTGGGACAAAAGGAGGAGGATGTACAACAGGCCAGACACCGGGCCCGGTGGGTGATGGTGCCGCCTGCATTCGCCCGACTAACACAGCCAAATTTTATTGGATGTCCTGTAAGATCTCCATCTGGTGATTTTGCATCTCTACTACACTTAACAAGACTGACCGTATGGTCCTCACATCATCCTCCATCTCTGCTGGGTCCATCTCCTCTAACTCACTAATGTCTGCTTGCCTCCGCTGCATCCTGGCTCTTCTTCTAATCATTCTCTCTTTTTCTGCCTTAATCTTAGTTGTGTCTCGCGATCAACAGCTCGCTGTATGGCGATCTCCTCGAGAGTCATCATTAACGGCTGGATTGTCATAACGCCAGTGGACTGACTCTGGGTTTGCGCAACCGTTGACCCTGCAGACCCTGAACTGCTGGCCTGGGAACTCTGCAGCGCAGCAGTTGCCATGGCCGCTGAAACAGCGGCTTCGCTTGTGAATGCTCTGCTGGTCTCTGCTGCCCTTAGCCCTCCACTGCTGCTGCTGCCTCTCCCTAAGCTGGCGGAACAGATATCTGTCGCCCTCTGGTCCTAAGGCCAAGTGGGCTATCGGGCGTCTAACCGATCGCGATCCGGTCGTCCTCACTAGTGGTGTCCCTATCGCTCATATGCTACAAAACTGCACACCGTCTACACTAGGACACGCAATAGATGCCTACCGCATCGACATGTACAGACCGATATAAATAATCGGCGGCTATCAGAGACTATACATTTGAGTCCAGCAGGTAAGTCCAGATTCCTACAAAAACAACTATGTTTAGTTTGACTAATTCTCGAACAGAATGCACAAATGAACAGGAAACAGTTCTAGTATGCTGTCTGTCAGATGTTAATGGCAGTACATCTAACTAATCAAAATAAAAATAGCATCATTTGTTTGGTCTGTTTGCAGCATGGGATCTTACTCGAACCTATCACCTGGAATCTACCCCTTCCCCAATTCCCTTCGATTGTCACTTGACATCAGCGTCCCTGAGCGATCCGGTTAGGCGTGCGTGACTAAAAGTGTGCACACGGCCCACCCCTGTGCCCCGAGTAGCTGCTGAGCTGGCCAGCCCTGCACTCTGTTTACTCTCACGTGCAGCGAGCCTTACACCGATTGGCTAATCAAGAGGCAATTTAACGACCGCCCCCAAGTGTCATCAGGAATTATTTTACGGCGCAGCAGGACGACAATCACAGCCAATGGTCTTCCCAGCCGGTGTATATTTATAGACGCCCGGTACTCGTCTCTCCCATAGGGCGGGCCTGCCCTTCAGTACCCCTTTTATGAGCACAGCAAGCAGACAAGGACAAAGCAGCAAAGCACGCATGCTGTACTCTCGGTGGGTTGGCATGGTGACCGTGACCCAGTGCTCCGTCCAAGGCCCTTCAGAAAGCACCACCCTCTCCTTCCAGATGCTCCACGTGAACAATGTCGACTCTCAAGGTTGAGCGCACAAACACCTCACATGAGAGGACTCTCAAGAAGGAACTCACAACCTCACGGTAAGAAGTGATGAAGAGGGTAGATAAGGTTAAGAGCAACGTACCTCATTATAGCTGCCCCCAACCAAAGATATTCTCACCAGATGACCTGATGGCGATTGCGATGACCAATCACTGCATCGGCACAACCAGCATTATCTCGCCGTTCCACCTCAGCATCAATCAACCACCAGACAACTCTCATCATACTGCGAACACCCAATATACACACCGTAGCCTTCCTGGCGATTCCCCTCTCCTCCTGGGTCGCCACACTTGTTTCCGCCCTCCTCAGTACACACCACCTACGGCCAGACTCACCAAGCAGACCACATGTATGTACCGCATAGGCAGAAGACAAGCGCCAGATGAGCGCAACGTACCACAACTCCGATACCAAATTGCAAGGAAGATGACCAATAGCGGACTTCAGCAATCAAACAGCATCATACACATAAGACCAGATAGTCGTGACCTCGAACCAATAGCAGAATTGCATCACGATTTTCACCAAATAAGAGCACACCAAAAGCTCATGCTGGAATAGTCTCATCATCACCATCAACGAAGAACCAATGTTGATATCCTATCTGGCGCTCGGCGCCCAGACTACAGATGGCAGATCCTATCTAGCCTAGACTACAATGCCGAAGATGATGACGACAACAGCTCTCCCGAAGTACGAGCAGATAGCGGCCAATGCCGCACGCTTCCAGCTCCAGGTATGTCTCTCGCATCACTCACAAACTCATTCC